GTTAACACTCCTCCGTGTCAGAACACTACGATCCTTACCCAGAGCTCAGTACAAGACATCCTAACATAAAACCACATCGCCCTAAGGCCCATAAGTCATTATATTGTTCTTAAGCACCCCCATAAATACCACAACCGAGACACCCACTCTAAAAATACCTTAATTTATATTAAAGTCGTTTCCTTCACCTTCCTAATACCGAAATATAAAATCCATAATGATATAAAAAAATGCCACAAGTCTCGATACCATCCATCTTAAATCTCAAATTCTAGCCATAAACAAATCCGCCAAAAGTTCTCAGTTGCTAAATATTAATCTTGAATCCATTAGAACTTTCTCGAGAGTCATCCACTCTGCTCAAATCTCAATTGCACCGCCCAAATGGGCCGAACTTCCTATGCTCAATTAGTACAACAACACCCCAAAGAAGTAACCATGCCTTAACACAATCGAGCAAATTCATACACCGTGCACACTACATTCGTCACGAATAACAACTCAACTCATTCCGTAATTTTCATATGCTCATAAAGTGGAATATAACCCGTATCCAGGAATTTTCTTACTCGAGTCATCCTCGATCTCAACCTCCGCAAGTCATTATTAATCCACAAGTAAGCCTCGGACCAAAACAAAAACAACATATAATCGTGCAATCAAATCATAGATAACAGACTCCCCCACTTGGCTCAAAGCCATAGAACAAAACATTCCATAACTCACAATATTCATACTCTATTACTGCCATAATACTGTAGTTAGTTCAAAGAAAATTCTTCTCAAGCTCATGCCACACCAACCATAAAATACCTCAATCATCCGCTAAGCTCGCATATTTTTCTCTTGACAGTCAAGTCAACTTTCTCAACCAGATTCAAATTTAAATCTCAACACGTACACCCCGCTGGTAGAAAAGAAAGCCTCCACACAACATCATAATGACTGCACATCCATAGTTTACCACACACGTGATAACCTACCTGCTTAGCTTCAAACTGACATCTCTCCATAACTTTTCACAACCACAACTACTACGCCATCACATAATCTTCCTAGGTCTAAGCTCACTATAAGATATGAAAAATCTACTTCATTCCACATTTAAACAACATAAAAAATCTTTAAATACACTCATAACTCGAGACTATACGTCACATCAAGATAGAAATCAAGCACCCAGTAGCCTTTTTTACATCACAAACAAATTCTTCTCGTCATATTCGAACCATTTGGACACATCCTGCAGTCACATCATACTCCTCATATATCCATTCAACCGTTCATCGATCCATAAATTCCATTCATAGGGACATTACCAAATATATGAGTCCAAATGTACAAGTTCACACAACTGAAGCTACCGAGCCTAAGCTGCGGTCTAAACCTGGCCTCAAGTCTTCCAGACTGGCCTATCACTAAAACACATAATACACATCTCGAACCTCATTCATAGAATCACAAGTCAGTGATGCAGAGCTGATACTGAGCGCTCACATGCGCACACAAATACGTGGAAGGAATTCAAAGAGTTGTGTTTCAAGCTGAATCAATTCTGCACGATAAGGAAAGAAAGATGGGAAATTATCCTAAATGCCCTGTAGCCTCTCGAAGATAAGTATGGACGTCATCACACCGATCCGCAAGACATTACTAGACACTTGCTCATGACTTATAGAACCTATGAAACTAGAGCTCTGATACCAACTTGTCACGACCCAAAATTCAACTAGCCGTGATGGCACCTAACCCAACCCGTTAGGTAAGCCAATTTACAAATATTTGATTCAAATAATATTTAACTGACCCTATTAAACTCCCCAAGGACTGGTAGTACAAATCATGAGCTTCTAAGATTAGTATTTACAAAACTGGTATGAAATAAACACATCATCTGTTCGAAGTGTACATAAACAGATTCTTATAAATCTAAGGCTACCATGAACAAGAGGCAACTATGACCGGAACACAGGTACATCTTCAAATCCAGCTCCCGTCGATCGCAGCAACATGAACATCCAATATCTGCACGCAAGGTGCAGAAGTGTAGTATGAGTACAACCGACCCCATGTACTCAATAAGTAACAAACCTAACCTTAGGTTGAAAGTAGTGACGAGCGGAAACATAAGTCAGGGTCCAATACATATAGCCAACAACATTTCATAACAATATAATTTAAAGCAGCACAAGTAATAATTCAACAATAACATGATCAACTTAAGCATGATTTCTGAAAATAGCTTTGCCTTTCAAGTGTATGAGTAAAAACTCAAGTCTTTTACTGAAGTTGCCAAAAATATGAGTAAGTTTGAAATAGTAATTTTTCCAAAATTCCTTTCAACAATAAATAAGATATTTCATTTTCTTTCCACATAGCCAGTGGAAAATGCATCAATATGCCCATATGCCAATATGTGTGAGAAGTCATGAATGACGTGATACCGTACAACATGAGGAAAATGCATCTCTATGCATGTATGTCAAGTGTGCATGTCAATGCGATGCACCTCAATGATAAAACCAACATGAGGAAAATGCATCTCTATACCGTACAACTCGCACTCGGCATTCGTGCTCGGCACTAGCACTCGGCACTCGCACTCAGTAGTACCCGCACTTATTGGGGGTGTGTATAGACTCCGGAGGGGCTCCTGCAGCCCAAGTGCTATAATCTGCACGGACAACTCACGTGCTGCATGGACAACTCACGTGTTATAGTATCAATATATGTATCCACACGGACATCTCACGTGCTATAATAAGCCAATCTAGCCTGCTGCGGCGTGCAGCCCGATCCCATAATAATAAAGTATATAAAGCCAATATTGCCTGCTGCGACGTGCAGACCGATCCCATAATTATCCACATAATCAGGCCCTCGGCCTCACTCAGTCATCAATCTCTCCAGTCTCTCGGGCTCACGATATCATGAAACTAGCCCAAAATGATGATATGATGAATCAATAAATAGCAACAGAGACTGAGAGATGATATAAAATGAATGAACATGACTGAGTTTTAAAATTTCAATTTAAACAAATTCAACAACAATATGACCTCTGTGGGTCTCAATAATACTGGCATATAGCCTCAACATGATTTTAACAAGATTCTCAGCTCAATAGCTCTAGTACGTAGAGATTTCCATGATTTCAGATAAGTTCAGATAACTACATAGTTCTACAGGAATAACGGAATCATAGTTCACATGGTGCACTCCCATATGCCCATCACCTAGCATGTGAGTCACCTCAACACCAAACACATAACACGCATAATTAAGGGTTTATACCCTCAGCTCCAAGATTAGAAGAGTTACTTACCTCGAACAAGCCAAATCCGATACTGAGCAAGCTGTACAATACTCTGAAAATTCCATTCCGCACGTATCAACCTCCATACGCCTTCCTATCTCCTCAATTCAAGTCAAACGACTCGTATCTATTCAAACAACGTGCAAATTAATCATAACTAACTCTAATGCTTACAATTTAACAATTTAAAAAAAATTCTCAACTCTGCTCTAATAATTGACAGAGGGGCCCACGTCTCAAAATCTGACAAAACTTACAAAATCTGAACACCCGTTCCGATATGAGTCCAACCATAAAAAAATTATCTAATTCCGACATCGGATTGACCTTCAAATCTTCATTTTACATTTTTGGAAGATTTTATAAAAAACTGAGTTTTCTTGCATAAATTCACGGATTCATTATGCAAATGAATATGGAATCATGAAATATAATCAATATGGGATAAGGAACACTTACCCCAATGTTTTCCCGTGAAAATCGCCCAAAAATCGCCTAAATCGGGCTCCCCAAACTCAAAAGTGAGTAAAAATGGCAAAACTCCACGTTTTATGGGTTTTTACGTCTGTGGCACCACATGTGGCATGGGTCGCTTCTTGTGGTGCCCTTTCTAGTACTTCCAGCAGTCCCAGCGCCAGGGATAGCACCCCACGCTACCCTGGGGGCTGACAGCGACAAAAAATCGTACCTGACATGGAAATAGGCATAACTCTCTCATGCGATGTCCAAATTTAAATACGGATCTAATGCTTCAATCAAAACTGAATTTCGAGCTCATTTGCTTAATGTGATACCACTTATTCTTGAAGAATCGACGTCGAACATTCTAGGAATATCCAACTTAAATTCTGTTAACCATCCGAAATCCACCCATGGCCCTCGGGACCTCAACCAAATATACCAACAAGTCCTAAAATATTATACGAACTTAGTCAATGCCTCAAATCACATCAAATAACAATTAAACCATGAATCATATCCCAATTCAAGCTAATGAACTTTAAATCTTTCAACTTTCAAACCTCGCGTCGAAATATATCAAATCAATCCGGAATGAATTCAAATTTTGCGTACAAGTCATAAATGATATAATATAGCTATTTCAATTTCCAGAATATGATTCCGACATCGATATCAAAAAGTCAACTCCTCGGTCAAACTTCCAAATTTTTAATTTCCTATTTTCGCCATTTCAAGCCAAATTTAACTACGGACTTTCAAATAATTATCCAGACACACTCCTAAGTCCAAAATCATCATACAGAGATGTTGGAATCATCAAAACTCTATTCCGGGGTCATTTACACATAAGTCAATCATCCGGTCAACCTTTTCAACTTAAGCTTTCATCTTTGAGACTAAGTGTCTCAATTCATTCCGAAACCTCAACGGATCCCAACGAATTACCCCAGCAAGTCATGTAACAATTGTAAAGAACAAATTGAGCAGTAAATGGGGGAACTGAGCTGAAATATTCAAAACGACCGGCCGGGTCGTTACACAAAAAGTTGGAGGACAACATGACATTATCGCAGAAGCTGAGACTAGGCTATATCCAATTACATCGGATCAATTATTCCATCAAACTAAATATATACAGTTGTTGTAGATAAAATGTTCAATAATTGTAGTTATTTTGTATATGTTTCTGACAAGTTGTTGTGTGTTTGTAATGAAATTGTAGGTGAGGGATTCAACAGATCACATCCATACAGTGATAGATGGTGTGAAGCGCTATATTGTTTGTCTTCAAAACAAGAGATGTAGTTGTGGACAATTCCAGCTTGATGAACTTCCATGTGCACATGCTTTGGCGGCTTTAAGGCATATGAATGAGTCTTATGAAAACTATTGTTCTCCGTATTACACGAGGGAGAGCCTCTTGCATTCTTATGAAATACCAGTAGACCCGCTGCCTGATGAAAGCAAATGGAATGTGCCACAACATATAGCTGAAGAAGTTGTAATGCCACCTACTGGGAAAAGACAGTCAGGAAGACCTCAAAATCAAAGATACAAACGACATGATGATGTAAATGGAAAGAAGTACAAGGTTTCATGTAGAAACTGCGGACTAGAAGGGCATAACAAAAGATCTTGTAAGAATGCTCCCAATAGGAAATAAAATTTGATAAAGTCACAAGATGTTTTGATAAATTGTGTTGAGGTGTTCTGAAGATTATAGTTGAGGTGTAATTGTGTTGATAAATTGAATAAAGACTGTCTCCTATAATGAAATATTTTCTGCTCTTAATGCAGTTGGTTTGTATTTGTTTTGTTTAATTACTGAGTGTATTAATTTCAGCCTTTCATAACTTGATTAGATTATGTATTTTTTTGTATGTATAATACATAATTGTAGTTAAATTGTAAAGAAATTTTATGCTAACAATAACGATATCAAGTACTAATAACTTTCAACCAAAAAACAAAAAAACAGATGTTTCCTATTCTAAGTAGTAGTATCCTGGATAAAATAACAAAACATAGGGTAAAACAATTGTAGTACAAATTTGCTACAAATAAACTTCAACGAACTTGTTCTTAGATAATAATTTGTCTACAACTTTACTACAAAACAGCTACAACTAAACAATCTAACTACAATTTTTCTATAGAAAAGGGCAACTAATTCTTCTTCTTCCTGACTTGTATTCTCTCGTTCACAGCTGGTGCACATTTTCTTCTTCCTAATCTTCCAGTCACCTTGCCCTCACTAATTGCACCAGTATCTTGCTTCTTCCTAGCATAATCCCAATGTAGCGCTCCATAGCGTCTACGATGTTGATCAATATCAGAAAGGTCTTTCTTTGAAACTGCTAGCTCTCTAATGCTGACATATTCTACAAATGCAGCCACATATACACCACAGTAACTGCAAAAAAAAATTAGGGGAAAAGATTTAGCATTCATTGTAAAATAAAATCTGTTAAATAAATAGAAGGAAAAACAACATTTTCATACAATGATCCCTCGTTTTGCTGGGGTATCTCACCGACCAACCACTGAATGTCAAGAGTAACACCTTTTTCAATGTATGCCTTTGTGCTCTCGTAGTTGATGTCTTGACGATTGCCATAGAAGCTGGTACATGACAAGTAGAGAGGGATCATAACAACAAACTTGTTGACAACAGATTCAACAAGGTTGTGATTTCGTGAAGAGATCATAGAATCATAAACATGTAGAACTCTATCGGTAATGTCAAACACAACCAACAACCAATGAAATTTCTCCACAATGTTTATGGGCATAATCACAAAATTAACTTGATCCCATGCAACATCTGCGAGTAACCTGTACCCCAATATGTATTCTGATACGATGTCCTGGGGTTTGACAATAACAAGCTTCTTTTCGGCAGGAGCATTGATGTACCTCTAATAAATTTGTTCAATTTTAGTCTTGAATATACAATTAGTGGTTGTAAACCGTATCTTGTTTTGAGGGCCATACTTTCCTCTCTTTCTCAAATAGTATAAAATAACATCAATATTCTGCATAAAAATAGATTTCATTAGTTCTCAATGCTTACTACAATTTAACTACAATATATCTACAAACAAACTACAAAATCTGGAGATGACATAATAATACAGCTAGTCATTAAATTCTGACAGCATTTGTGTTTACCGAGTCGTTGAGGACTTGCCCTAGATGTGCCAAAGTATAAAACTACTCCTTTTTATGAACTTTCTTCACTCCAAGATCATACCACAGCTTAAGCTGGTTATCGTTTATAGAATAAGCCGCATTCCTCCTATTTAAATACATAGCAATTACAATAAATATGTAGATTCAAGTGGAAATCCAAAAGATGAATGCACTCGAAAATATGAACAAATTGTATAAACTAACCTCTTTGAAAATGTATCGGTACCAAGGTACAACCAATTGTTGAATTCTTCCAACAAGTCAGGATCAACATCTTTTCCAATAACCCCAGTAAATGGATGCTTGATGAGGTAAATTGGAGGTCCAACAGAAGTGCTCCCATCAGAACTGTAAAAAGGAAGAAAAGGGGATCGGGCATGCTTTCCAGGCTGCCTTGATCTTCCTTGATGCACAGGGGTTGTTTCATCTTTGTTAAGCTCGCCGAACTTAACAATCTGGGGGAAGTTCTCTGGCAGCTCAAAATCATCAAGTGTAACTTCCCTTTTCTCAGATCTGGAGTCATTGTCCGAATCACCTACATTAACGTACTCAGATGGTTCACCTCCTTCTTCACAACAATCATCTCCTTCTTGTATAAGATTCTCTTCTTGAATGGGAGATTGCATTTTTGTCTCCTTCTCCTCATTCTTCTGTTCTCCTGGAATGCTTATTGTAGCTTCCTGTTTTGGAGATTCTGCAGGCATAGCTTCCTTCACTGTTATAGTAAATATGTTTAAGTTAACCAAATTGTAGATAATTTATACTAAACACTAACATCACTGCATACAAATTGTAGTTTAAATGTAGTAAATTTATTGAAATGTTGTCCTGCATCTGATATACAAAATGTATTGTGAAATGTGATGATAACATGTACTAAATCATACCTGCATTCTCTTTATAAAACGTCCCTTCAAATTGGGAAGATAAATCAACATGTACAGGAACATTCTCCTCAATTTCTATGTCATTCACGTGCCCTGTATCTAAGAAAACAATTGGAAATATAATGCATATTAGTTGATACAAAATTAGGTAATAGGTAGATATATTGTAGACATAATATAGATATGTATATATATATGTAGGTATATTGTAGGTATAATGTAGATATATTATAGATATATTGTAGATGCATGTTTTACTACTGCTGGCATGCACTGTTTTATCACTATTGCCCAGAAAGTGTTGATTGTTCTTTTCTTTTGAGTGCTCTTCATTTTTTATAGAACTCCCAGCAAACTGCAGGCATTCAATTTGTTAGGCTATATACTTTATGAACGATAATATAAACTTAAACGTGATAAAAACTGTTGTGTAAAATGAATATATTTCAAATGAAACCTTGGCATCAATGTTATCTTTTTGACTGTTTATCGCCTGTAAAATAGCCTTGATTGAGTCATTGAGTACCAGTCGAATGCTACCTAGTTCTTCAAAAACTTCTTTCTTAAAAGATCCAAGATCTGAACCAACCTACATATTAAAATATAATTTGCACAACATAAATTAAAGTAACCATCTAGGATTATGTATATATGTTACCTTGTCAACATCTTTTCTTAAACTTTTTATTTGTTTTAGAATATCTTTCTTGTCATCTATTCTAATTGCCTGCTTGTGTCCAGATGGAGATGCAGCATCTATCGGATGCTCAGACTTGGTTTCAACTTCTTCAAGGATGTATTCAACTTTATCTGGCAAGTTAATTCTTGAAAGCTTTTCTGGTGCTTCAATTATGATGGTGAACTGAGTGAAATAAATAAATGAGAGTGACTTAGACATAATATGTATAAAAGTTGTAGATAATTTGTATTAGATTATCTGCGCATAAGTAAAAACCATTTACCTTGATCCATGTTGGTTTGATTATTCTATCTTTAATTGCAGATAACCATATCTTGTCCTTACTAGCTAGCCAGCTAAGTATGCGAGGGATAGAATTAGCAATACTTGTAGCTATATCAGTGTTGATGGTAGAGCAACACTCATACAACCATATTTGCATAGCTAGTGCAAAGCCTCAAATGACATAAAAATGAACAGAAGGATTGAGTTTATGCCTAACAGACTGAAGCAATTGTGTATAAGATTCACTACCCCATGCGTAGTTTGCATACTGTCCCGAGTCCACCAAATAGAACCTAAAATGGTCTATCAACACTGCATTGTCTTTTTCTGAAGGACAGAGGAATAATTCTATGAGATATAGAATACACAACTTGACTGCATCCCCGTCATTCACCCAACTACGGCTGGTTACAATTTGTTTTAAGTATGACTTTTTAACTTTTTCCTTGTTTGGAAAATAACTTCTCATTATTTTACTATCATACGTAGGTGTGTAAACAAAGTCTGTCACTTCCGTAAAACATCTCAGACCACTAATCAGGGCAAACTCTCTCAAACCAAAATTCAGCCTCTGACCCTTTATCTCTATTGAAAAAAAGTCGGAACCAGATGCATTCAATTCATACTTCATGAGAAGATGAATTGCTTGATTTTGCATACATATTCCGGGCAAGGAAAGCAAATAACCAAAACATGTCTTCTTAAAAAGTTTTAAACCATTTTCAGATAGTAAATCCTTGATTTGGCCAAGAATAGTGGGGCCGGATAATGTCTGAAACCTAATGATCCCATAATCAATATTAGGAGGTATAAAAAATGGTCCATTCAGCAGCAAGAGGAAAAGAAAGTTATTAAAACAAGGCTCAAAACTAGAAAATAAAATAACTACATTTATAATATAATTTAACTACAATCAGATAAATAGAGTTAAAAACAGAACACAAAATAACTACAATTATATTACAATTTATCTACATCCTTTAAAACAGAGTAAATACCAGGAAAAATGTTTATATAACAGTGTATCTACAATAAGAAACCATAAATCTACACAATGTAGACAAATTTTCTACAACTACAAAAACAAAAATTATGTTGATTAATAAGAATGAGAACAAAATTTTTTAGCTTTAAAAAAAATACATTGATGAAACTACTAAATGTTTACCTTCACCAAAGACTGTTGGGGAACAGTTTTAGAAGATTTTTGAACTTTCTTCTTTTTTGAAGGTTTTACATTAGGAGACACTCTAACTTTTTTTGCAACTTTAATGATAGTTTCTTCTTCGACGAAATCATCATCGAAATCAATCTCTTTGCCTTTCCTTTTTACAGATTTGACAGGTATCAACGATTCACCAACATCAATATCGTACTTTTGTTTTGTACGAGCTTCTGCCCTATCTTCACAAGGGGAAAGCCTGGGCTTGTTCTCTTTTTCTGCATGAGCTGATTTTGAAGCCTTTTTGGGTGAATTTCCTGAGAAAACATCCAAATCAAATATAGGAATATCGGCTCCTTTATCTTTTTTAGGGCTGATCTTTGAAGTTATTTTCTTCTTCATTGAAAATCAAGCAAAGCAAAGACGTTAATGGAGGTAATTTTTTGCAGAAGAGAGTAAAAATTTAGAATGATTTTTGAAGAAGAGAGGAAATAGGCGCTAATGAAGGGATTCTGAAGTTTGTGGAGAGAGAATCGTATTTGAGTGCAAGATACGTGGGGGTGGGGGGTGGGATGTGGAGAGAGAAATGTGGGGGAGTGGAAGATACGTTAGAGTTATTTTAGGATACTAATTACTATCATTAATTGTCTTAAAAATGTACATAAATGATAATTGGGTATATAATATGTAATTATATTAAAACTTAAGTAGGGAGGATAATATAGTTTCATATAGTGTATAGGAATGTAAAAATTCCATATATAAATTCGCAAAGATGTAGCCCAGCCATAATAGGCCATATCTGAAAAATGAACATCATTTCCATTTCTTTTTATTCTGATCTTCAAGCGCAAAAATTCTATGATTTCTAAATCATAACAAAACCTAACGTAAATTGATCTTATACTTTCCTATCGCATCTACAAAGAGCAAAACCAGCCACAATCCAACTAGAAAAAAACTAAATTTTCTTTTTCCCCAAATTCAAAAGAGCAGAGACTGGAATATATAAATTGGAAGAATTTGCTTCAAGTTCGTGATTTGGCAGAGAAATCAACTAAAGAAATGGACTTTATACATTAATTATTCGAGCAATGATAAGAACAACACAAAAAAATCAATTTCTATTTTTGTCGACGGAAGTTTACACTATATACATTCTTCATAGTGGTGAATGTGTTAATGACAATTAGGATAGTGTATATATATTTTTATACACCGGTATGCAAAAAACTATACACACTTATACAAATTTTCTAAAATATATTTACACTTGTATATATAATTAGTCTTTGTCCATGCACATTGTGCTTGTACCCCTTATCAGTGAATATAAAATTTTAAAAATGACATAGATATTATTCATAAAACAATCAAATATAAGTTCCTCGAAATGCTAACTTGTTCATTCTAGTTAAGTCAAGAGAGGAATTGAAGAAATCCCGCCCTACATGTGAAAGTCCTTTGGATATTCTGATCCATATTGTAATTTAGCTATATAATTTTTTATGTTTTGTGTAGAAGTTCGAAACAATAGGCAAAATATGCTCGCTTATATGTAATCCTTTAATTAGTATCGAATAAGATCACTGTGTGAAGTCAAATAAGTGGAAGTTTAGAAATGAAACTTGATATAAACTAAGGGTCCACCAAACTATGTAGAGAACGAGGTTCTCTATAAGTTCCCACGGAACGCACGCACACAGCAGTAAGTAAATGATACAATGGAATTTTACGTGGAAAACTCCCAGCTCACGGGATTAAAAACCACGACCTACCCTTATAGGATTTAAACTTCACTACTGAGCAAACTTTAGATTACAACCTATTGTAACCTAGGAATTAACCTCTTAATCCCTCACTAACTTCTCTATTACAAGCCACTTTGTAATAACTCTATTATAAAGACTTACAACTCGACTAACTCTAGCCAAGACACAAACACAAGACTTATGATTTTACAAAGATTTCCTACACAATGCTTCTAACTAAGCTAAGTAGGAATTACAAGTGAAGTGCTTTAACAAAGGTGCAACACAACTAAGGACATGTAATGACTCAATACAGGAAACTGGCCCTTCGTTATGTTGTTCTTTGTTCTTGATGCCCTTGAGAATCACTTCGAAGATTGACATAGACTTGAGAGAATGCTTGATCGATTCTTGAATGTGCAAGTATTTTGTTTTACCTTTGCTTGATGTTAATAACTCATTTGTGACATCACTTGAAAGATGCAAGCAAGTTAGGTAAAGGGCATTCCCCATAAAGTTGACTGCTGCACTATTTTTGCACTGTTGCGTGTGCAGGCAGCAACTTTATAGCTGTGGGGAGTTGACTTATACAGTCACCACGGGAACTGGTGGCCATCTTGTCACGCCCCAAAACCGAGGAGCGCGACCAGCGCTCAACCGAGTAAACCCGACAGAGCAAGTCTGTTAGATTTTCTTCTACCCAAACTCATCCACGAATGAAGATAATACATATTTTCATTAACTAGACAAAAACGTGATCATATCTACAATACCAATTCATTATCAATAGTTTTCATCATTTTTAAAGTCTCAAATGGGACAAGTAATACAACCACAACATAACATAGTTTGTCTTTCCCAGCACCAATACACAACCCACACTATGTCTACGAAGCTTCTATAGATAAAGAAGAGCACAATGATAATGCCGGCAATAAGGCCCCGGCTATACCTCAAACAGAATACACAAAGAACAAAAGATACATGACCTCGGGATGAAGTGGGGCTCACCAAGTCAGTTGGGAAGAAGGTGTACTACTATCACTGATCAATACCTCTTGATGTGGAACCACCTGCATCCATTTAAAGATGCAGCACCCCCGACAAAAAGGACGTTAGTACCGTCGAATAGTACTAGTATGAAAACCAAACACCAATTTAAGAATTTAGAAATACAATATAAATATGATGAATCAGGGCGACAATAGAATAATATAGATAACCGTTTAAACCAGAACAATCTTATTGAGAGCTATCAATAACATTTATAAGATTTAAAATGAGATCCTCTGTAACAATTTTAACACAAAGCGGCCCTGCCGCCTCACCTGATGTATGCATGTAGAGGTGTAAGTACAATACCATAACTCTACTCAAGTGGTCCTGCCACCTCACCCCAATGCATGCGGGTGGATGTATAACCACAATACCAAGAACCTACACAAAGAGGCTATGCCGCTTCACCCCAATGTATGCGGGTGGAAATGCATCAACGATATTAATACCAACACAAAGCGGCTATGCCGTCTCACCCCAATATATACATGTGGGTGGTGGTGCCACAACAATACCAAAACTATAGACAAAGTGGTCGTATTGCCTCACCCCAATGTATACGGGTGGAGGTGCAGTCCTACAATACCATAATCCCTACACAAAGCGGTCATGCCGCCTCACCCCAATATATGCGGGTGGAGGTGTATCACAATTCCAATCTCTACACAACTTGGCATAATAACTTTCACATAAATCACGACTTGAAAGTATAACATGTGGATACACAATCCATAGTTTGGAACACATCCTCAATTTATAATACAATATGATAAGAGCATTCCAAATACGAATTGAACATATATCTTTATCACAAAACTTATCGGAATACTCGATTTGTAATCAACATCTTGGAACTTACAAGGATAATAGGAATTCCAATTGTTAAAGAAGAGTTTAGCCAACATACCTCAATTGAGCTTCCTTAAACTCTAAAATATTTTGGAATTCTTAGCAACTTCAATCTATTTTAGAAATATAATTAATTGAACCAAAATTAGGAAGATGATCATGGTTCTAGCTTATTTGAGCATTTTATCAAACATTAGGTGTGCATAAGGTTTCAATGTCTTTTCATGGAGGATTCCATCATCCCACAATCCAATCTTTATCATTTTTAGCTCAACAATCTTCCTACACCCTTTGATAACACATGCATGTAAAATAAACAACTCTCATGCCCCAAAAATTATCTTGCTAATTACCCATTCTAGACAAAATTCGAAATTGAGGATTAGGGTGTAGAATCTTACCACTAGGATGAAGACCTAGTGAATTTCTCTTCTTAATCTTCCAAAATTTGAGCAAGAATTGAAAAATAATTATTGAGGAACACCTTCTCACTCTAGGGAACTCTCTCTCACTCTAAAATGTTAGATGTTAGCTCAAAAATGGCCAAAAAGTGTATTTAACGAAGTAGGGTCGGGTGTTAAAAACTCAAAAATAGAGCTCCGGAACAAGGTCTATGATCGCATATGCGATTGCATAATCAATATGCGGACCGCATATCGGTCGCACAATTTGGCCTCCAAAACTGGGCGTGACTGACTTGGTTTGCGATCATTATGCGGCCCGCAGACCTATTTTGCGGTCGCATAATACACCGCAGAATTGGTCTGCGGTCGCATAATGCGCCGCAAACCTAGTCTCCAAACCTCCCCTTTCCTGTCTCACTCTGCGACCATTATGCGGCCCGTAGAGTGATTTTGCGACCACGTAGTGGGCCGAAGAAACGTCTTCTTTTGCCGAAAATTTTCCTTTATCCCTCAGTGCATTGTTCAATCCAAAAAATCCGAGCCGTGGTAAGCAAACTCGCCACGAAGAATTTCTATAATCCTCAATACGTAAAACCAATTCGGCACCACGAAACATTATTTTCTTTTGCAAAATTTTACGGGGCCTTACACATCTATTCCTTCTGTTGTTCCTTTAACTCTGAAGAGTTGAACCACGTCCCCGAACTGAGACTTGTTGTTCTTTAAGTATTGAGGATGTGTAACAGGTTCCTTCTATGGTTCTTATCATTAAGTTTGTTAGATCATCAAAACATAACAGGGATACATATATAACCTATCAATTTCCCCCTTTTTGATGATGACAAACCCCCTAAGAGCCAAAATGCTAGATCAGTTTCCTATATTCCCCCTGAATTTATTCCTCGGCTTGTTCCCCCTCAATTATTTCCCCCCCTTTTGGCATCATAAAGAGATCAGTAGCAAGTAATAAGCAAAAAGAAGTCTAGCTTGGATAACTCATACCATATGTGTGCACACAATCATGACTAAAATCAAAGCAAAAGAGTAAGACATAGAAAACAAAAAGGATGAAACTTTCATTAATTATTGGAAATTAAGTTGGGAGCAGTTCCATTGTTACCAAAACATCCACAAAATAAAAATAACAAAAGGTTCCAGTCATAAACATCATTAAGACTAAAAATAAAGGATGGACACTAGGAACTTGGCACTGGGAATATGACGGCTACTAAGGAGCACTGGAAGGGGAAGCACTGGAGGCTGAAGAAGAGGCAAGGGTTATAAGAAGGATGTCCATGCGAGCATTTGCAGAACCTTGATCGTTTAGCAGTCTATTCTTCAGGTCCTCAACCTATTTCCTGAAAGCAGCATTTTCCTTTGTCAGCGCGAGCAACCTTTGTGTTTTGGGAACCACTGGATCCAGCTTCTTCGTGGGCCTGATTGAGCTGATTTTCGAGAATGGAATTCCGAGCCTTCAACTTCCTTATTTCTTCAGTGACACTATTTTGAGAGTTGATCAGTTGAGAAATAGTCGAAGTGCTGCCAACCCCTCCACTCCTATCAATGCACTCACACTCTTCAAGTGTGGTTTTGGAGAAAGATTACTTGCGAGTTCCTACTTTAGCCTGTCCCAATGGAACCTTGAAAAATTCAAAAACTTTAGTGAGGAGAAACCCATAAGGCAACCCATGATTACCTTTATTGAACTCTGCTATTTTCTTCATGTGCTCTATCATAAGACCAGACAGGTTTAGAGTAGTGTATCCATGTAGTGCTTCCATGAGAACTAAGTATGCTCGTGATGTAATAGAGCATCTTTTAGCACATGGGAGTAGAACGTTGTTCACTATTTCGAATAGCAGTTGGTACACTGGAAGGAGGGCCTTCTTGTGTACCCATTCCCCTTGTTGCACTGCCTTATCCTTCACAATGGTGTTTCTAAAATTTGTAGAGCAGACCCCGTCAATGGAAGACATCCCATCAGTGGACACGCCCAAAATAGCTCCCAGTACAGTAGTGTCCATCACAAAATTAACACCGTTCACTTCCAGACAAATGCTATCATCCTCAACTGTGAAGAAGTCAATATAGAAATTACACACTTCTGCCTCATATACTCTGGGATTTTCACTTGTGAACAGATGTATCCACTGTTGGAGTTCATAGATCTCCACCAATTGGCACATTCCTGACATATCTAGAATATCAGGGGCAAATGTACGGCCCCACAGTACCTTTTGGATTCTCAATTTTTCCCTGCCAGCATCCTGGGAAGCACCAACCTTGGTCTTCTTGGAGGAACTAGGTTCCTCAGTGGCATCAGCCTTCCTTTTCACTAATTTTCTAGCACTCTTTCTTTTCTCCGCAGATGTTTCAGACACCCTTTTCTTAGACACTCTTTCAACCAGTTCTTCAGTCTCCTTATCTCCAAGTTCCTCAACCACCTTTCCACCAGATGTTTCACCTTCATCATTTTTCAAACCCATACCACTTACAAATGACTCTTTCTTCGATGTTGATAAGTTTCTTTGAGGACTTACAAACTAAGGAACCAGGTTCCTCATCTACCTCATCATCTATATCGACAACTAGTGCTGGAGGCACTACCCACTCATTTACGAACATCCCATCCTTCACCAATCTCTTTTTCTTCTTTCCCTCTTTTCGTTTCCTTAAAAGTGACTCAAATTCTTCCTTCTTCTGCAACCTCGTGATATGTCTCTTAGAAATGGACCCCTGGGGAGGTGCCTTTCTACTCCTAGCATTAATGAATCTCACCAGTGCCAAATTATAATAATCTTCTCCTTCACTGTTCTCATTCTCCTCCTCAAACAGAGATCACATCGCAGGAACCACAATTGATAATGGCTTAACATAGAAATAAGGAGAGGGGGCGGGATCAATACTGACCTGGAACTCTTGTTAAGAACTAGGGGTTTTATCCCTATTAGAGCCATAGGGCGCTTCTGGGGCGGAGGGATCATGTCCCTCAGTTGGTTCCCCAGTTGTACTCTCAGGTGCCGAGGTTTCGACATGCACCATTTCCCTATCCTCGACCTCTATACCATTATCTTCCCATTGAAACTCAGACACTCTTTCATAACCTTCAATCAGACTTCCCTCAGCAGCATTGAAAGCATATTTTCTATAGCTTTCTGTTCTTGTAACTCCAAAGTAACTTCAGAATGCATAAGAGGATCATTACTTGTAGGATCAAAGCCCGGGGATGCCATTGTCGATTCATCATTGGTATAACCCACACCTTGTTCTTTAGCAGAACTTTCTTCCACTGGTAGACTAGAAATTTCTTGATTTTCTTCTCCATCCATTTTATCTTCGTCAACCATCTTTTCTGGCGAGGCAAAAGTAGAGGTCACGACCACAAATATCTTGGGAGTCGATATTTTGCGACTCCGATGAGAACCAGAACTCGACTGGGTTGGAGAGGAAGCAGAGGGTGGTTGTGACTCTAACTTAGAGTTTGGACTAGTCAGAACATGGAGTGTGGACTCTATCACTGGTGTTGCAGCGAATGAGGACACAGTGGGGACGATGCTTGGAACATTTTGTGTTTCCTGATTGTCATACATGGTGGAGTGTAGTTAGTTGAAGAGGAGTATTTGAAGAAGGAAAAGGTGAATTTTGGATTCTTGATATGAACAGTTCTGAAAGTTATTGTGAATGGATTTATTTAAAAGGAGTGAGAGACAGGTTGGGTATAAATTTCTGGTAGTCGGGTCGCTTCATAAAGGTTGAGACGCTTGGATTCAAGAAGAAAAAATAAACTGACAATTTAATGATGTGACACCATTTCAGCCGTTTAAAACATTGTGCATGAGAGTATAGAGGAACTACTAACCTGTGTCAAAGGAACTAGGTTCCCTGACAGAGTTTGAAAATGTAAGCCTCATCCTTTGACCAACATGCAATGCATTAGCTACTTGTCTACTCTGTAATCATCATGCGTGTCTACCTGTAACGGTATAGAGGTGAGTTAGACTGGGCTAGAAAACATTTTTTAGCTATTTTACATGTACATTCTTTTGTAGCTAATCATCGAGGGACCAGGTCCTCAGCTTGATTTTATCAATCATAGTGCCATGCGATTCTTTTCAATGTGCTCTTTGCTCAGTGCTTTGGTGAAGATATCTGCAATTTGATCTTCTGTGCTATAAAACTTCATGCAGATGAGCCCTTTATCAACATTGTCTCTGAGGAAGTGATGTCGCACATCAATATGCTTTGTTCTCTTATGTTGGACTTGATGTTTTGTCATGTTGAGAGCACTAGTGTTGTCACATAGTAAGGGCACGCAATCAGAAAACACACTGAAATCTTTGAGCTGTTACTTGATCGACAACAGTTGAGCACAACAAGAGGCAACTGCTACTTACTCCGCCTAAGCAGTTGAAAGGGATACTGGGTTTTGTTTTCTTGTGCCCCATGAGATTAGACACGAGCCCAAAAAATGTTCCATACCAAAAGTGCTTTTCCTATCCACCAGATAACCAACATAGTCAGCATCAACATACCCTATTAAGTCAAAGTTATCTCTTGAAGGATAGTAGAGAACCGGGTACTGTGTGACTTTGAGATACCTTAGGATTCTTTTGGCAGCCTTCAGATGAGATTCCTTGGGATTAGACTAAAACCTGGCACACAATCCCATACAAAAAAATATCTGGTCTGCTTGCTGTGATATACAGAAGTGATCCTATGATACCTCTATACATAGTTTCATTTGCACGAGAACCAGGTTTATCCATGTCCAGACGAGTAGCAATAGAAATGGGGGTATCAATGATCTTTGATCCTTCCGTATCAAATCTCTTCAAAAGCTCCTTGGTGTACTTCTGTCGACTTATCATTGTCCCCTCAATAGTTTGCTTAACTTGCAGTCCCAAGAAAAATTTAATTCCCCTATCATATAAACAACTAGGGAGTGGAGACCCTATGTTGGAAAGGAGACTAGGGAGTGGTGACCCTATGCCTAAAATAAAATAAACTAGAGAGTGGAGACCCTAGGTTGGAACAACGACTAGTGAGTGGAGACCCTATGTCTAAAATATCAACAATTAGGGAGTGGAGACCCTATGTTAGAAAATAGACTAGGGAGTGGAGACCCAATGTCTAAAATATCATCAAATAGGGAGTGGAAACCCTATGTCTAAAATATCATCAACTAGGGAGTTGAGACCCTATGTTGGAGAAGAAACTAAGGAGTGGAGACCTTATGTCTAAAAATAAAATGAACTAGTGAGTGGAGACAGTATGTTGGAAAATGAACTAGGGAGTGGAGACCCTATGTTAGATAAGCGACTAGGGAGTGGGGACCCTATGTTTGAAAAAACACTAGGGAGTGGAGACCCTATGTTGGAAAAGAGACTAGGGAGTGGAGACCCTATGTTGGAAAAGAGACTAGGGAGTGGCGACCCTATGTCTAAAATAAAATTAACTAGAGAGTGGAGACCCTAGGTTGGAACAATGACTAGAGAGTGGAGATCCTATGTCTAAAATATCAACAACTAGGGAGCGGAGACCCTATGTTATAAAAGAGACTAGGGAGTGGAGACCCAATGTCTAAAATATCATCAAATAGGGCATGGAAACCCTATTTCTAAAATATCATCAACTACGGAGTGGAGACCCTATGTTGGAGAAGAGACTAAGGAGTGGAGACCCTATGTCTATAAATAAAATCAACAACGGAGTGGAGACCGAATGCTGGAAAATCTACTAGGGAGTGGAGACCATATGTTAGAAAATCAACTAGGGAGTGGAGACCCAATGTCTAAAATATCATCAAATAGGGAGTGGAAACCCTATGTCTTAAATATAATCAACTAGGGAGTGGAGACCCTATGTTGGAGAAGAGACTAAGGAGTGGAGACCCTATGTCTAAAAATAAAATCAACTAGTGAGTGGAGACCGAATGTTGGAAAATCAACTAGGGAGTGGAGACCCTATGTCTTAAATAAAATCAACTAAGGAGCGGAGACCTTATGTTGGAAAAGTGACTAGGGAGTGGAGACCCTATGTTGGAAAAGAGACTAGGGAGTGGCGACCCTATGTCTAAAATAAAATCCACTAGAGAGTGGAGACCCTAGGTTGGAACAATGACTAGGGAGTGGAGACCCTATGTCTAAAATATCAACAACTAGGGAGTGGAGACCCTATGTTATAAAAGAGACTAGGGAGTGGATACCCAATGTCTAAAATATCATCAAATAGGGCGTGGAAACCCTATTTCTAAAATATCATCAACTACGAAGTGGAGACCCTATGTTGGAGAAGAGACTAAGGAGTGGAGACCCTATGTCTATAAATAAAATCAACTATGGAGTGGAGACCGAATGTTGGAAAATCAACTAGGGAGTGGAGACCCTATGTTACAAAAGCGACTAGGGAGTGGAGACCCTATGTTTGAAAAACAACTAGGGAGTGGAGACCATATGTTGGAAAGAAGACTAGGGAGTGGAGACCCAATGTCTAAAATATCATCAACTAGGGAGTGGAGACCCTATGTAAGAAACGTGACTAGGGAAGGGAGAACTATGTCTAAATAAAATCAACCAGGGAGTGGAGACCCTATGTCTAAAATAAAATCAACTAGGGAGTGGAGACCCTATGTCTAAAATAAAATCAACTAGGGAGTGAAGACCTTATATTGGAAAAACGACTAGGGAGTGGAGACCCTATGTCTAAAATAAAATCAACTAAGGAGCGGAGACCCTATGTTTGAAAAGCGACTAGGGAGTGGAGACCCAATGTTGGAAAGGAGACTAGGGAGTGGTGACCCTTTGTCAAAAATGAAATCAACTAGAGAATGGAGACCCTAGGTTGGAACAACGACTAGGGAGTGGAGACCCTATGTCTAAAATATCAACAACTAGGGAGTGGAGACCCTATGTTAGAAAAGAGACTAGGGAGTGGAGACCCAATGTCTAAAATATCATCAAATAGGGAGTGGAAACCCTATTTCTAAAATATCATCAACTAGGGAGTGGAGACGCAATGTCTAAAATATCATCAAATAGGGAGTGGAAACCCTGTGTCTTAAATATCATCAACTAGGGAGTGGAGACCCTATGTTGGGGAAGAGACTAAGGAGTGGAGACCCCATGTCTAAAAATAAAATCAACTAGTGAGTGGAGACCGAATGTTGGAAAATCAACTAGGGAGTGGAGACCCTATGTCTAAAATAAAATCAACTAAGGAGCGGAGACCTTATGTTGGAAAAGTGACTAGGGAGTAGAGACCCTATTTTCCAAAGGAGACTAGGGAGTGGTGACCCTAAGTCTAAAATATCAACAACTAGGGAGTGGAGACCCTATGTTAGAAAAGAGACTAGGGAGTGGAGACCCTATGTTAGAAAAGAGACTAGGGAGTGGAGACCCTATGTTGGAGAAGAGACTAAAAGTAGTGGAGACCCTATGTCTAAAAATAAAATCAACTAGTGAGTGGAGACCGAATGTTGGAAAATCAACTAGGGAGTGGAGACCCTATGTTAGAAAAGAGACTAGGGAGTGGAGACCCTATGTTGGAGAAGAGACTAAAAGTAGTGGAGACCCTATGTCTAAAAATAAAATCAACTAGTGAGTGGAGACCGAATGTTGGAAAATCAACTAGGGAGTGGAGACCCTATGTTAGAAAAGCGACTAGGGAGTGGAAACCCTAGGTTTGAAAAAAAAACTAGGGAGTGGAGACCATATGTTGGAGGAAAAGAGACTAGGGAGTGGTGACCCTATGTCTAAAATAAAATCAACTAGAGAGTGGAGACCCTAGGTTGGAACAA